AACTCTTGAAGACATTGGCACAGGAAAAGACTTTATGAACAAAATCTCAGTCTCACAGGAACTAGCACAAAGATCAACAACTGGGATCTCACCTTATTAAAAAGCTTCTGCACAGCAAAAGAAACCACCAACAGAGTGAAGAGACAACCTACAAAGTGGGAAAAATTTTTTTACCAGCTGTTCCTCAAAGGACTACTATCTAGAATAAAGAACTTAAAAAAAAATGAGACCCTCCCCCTCAAATTTAAAGACCCAATCTAAGGGGCCGGGGATTTAGCTCAGTAGTTTCGCTGCCTGCTGTGCAAGCGCAAGGACACAAGTTTGATCCCTAGTACCAAAAAATATAAATATAAATATATATATAAAGACCCAATCCAGAAATGAGCATCTGAAATGAACAGACATTTCTCAGATGAAGAAGCAGCAGCAAATAAACATGTGAAAAAATGTTCAACATTACTGGTCATTCGAGAGATGCAGATGAAAATAATACTGAGATTCCATCTCACTCAAGAAATGGCTATCAAGAAATCAACCAATAACAAATGCTGGCAGGGATGTGAGGAGAAAGGAACACTTCTCCACTGTTGGTAGGAGTGCAGACTGGTGCAACCATTGTGGAAATCAAGGTGGAAATTCCTCAAAAAACTAGGATTAGAAGTCCCATTTGACCCAGCTGCTCCCCTGCTGGGTATATTCCCAAAAGAATTAAAAGCATCATACCACAGCAATATATGCACACAAACATTTATAGCGGCACAGTTTGTAATAGCTAAATCTTGGAAAGAGCCCAAATTCCCATCAACTGGTGACTGGATAAAGAAGATTTTTTTTTTTTAATAAAATGGAGCACTACTCAGCCATAAAGAAAGTTAAACTTGAGACATTAATAGCTAAATAGATGCACCTTGAGGCCATACTAGTAAGTGAAACAGGACACACATGTATAAATACTGAATTGTTTCTTTGGCATGAGAAACTGAAAGTATAAATGAAGAACAAAATGTATAATAGATATTGTGAAATAGGAAGAAAATCTTCAAAGGGGAAGGGGAACTAGGGAGGAGGGCAGGGGAAAGGAAAGAAGGGAAAGAAACAAAATTCAAGAAAAGAAGGAAAAAACAGAAACAAAGTGTATGTATATAGGGAAGGGTGGAGGGGGTGTTGAAGGAAGGGCAGGGGAATGGGGAAAAAAACCCCAAGATATCTCATATACAGGTACACATTCCAAATGATGAATGTGATTATAAGTATAACTAAAATGTACCAATAAACTCAATACATTTTTTAAAAAGATTTGTTTCATTGTGATGATAATCTGAACATAATCTTTAGATAAAACAAGCAGGTGGCAGAGAAACAAGAGAAAGGATAATTCAGTAAGAGTAAACAAAAAACAATGTGAATAATAATGCCCATCAGTAACATTTTTCCCTATGTACAGGTAAACAAGAGGGTTAAAAAGTTCTTGGTTTACCATCAGCCAGGATACAGCCATTCTTTCCATTCATATTTTAAGATATCTACAGCCTGTGACAAGTTAATTTTCTCTTCACCGTGTGACATTTTCTAGTCTTTTGTTTTTTGACAGGATCTTTCTATGTTGTTCAGGCTGCTCTTGAACTCACAACGTATCTCAGGCTGGTCTTGAATTCATGGCAAGGCTCCTGCCTCAGCCTTCTAAGTGCTGGGATCATAGGTGTGAACCACCACACCCAGTTGACATTTTCCTATTTTTTTGGACGGGGGTGTGGCTGACCCTGGATCTCAGCCCTCCATTGGGGTCCCACCAGTAGCCAACCCACCTGTGGCTGGCCTTGTTCCAGGACGAAGACTAGCTACTTTGTTCTCCCAGACCCAGGGGCAAACGAGGAGGAAGAATGACAGAATCAGTTTAACATGACGGCAGCCAGGGGACTTACTTCTTAGTAGGCAGAAGAGCCTCCAGCATCTGGCTCATCTTGCCTTTATTCACCCTAACATGGGTACAAGCAATCAAAGTAACACAAGATTCATCTGCTTTCCAATGCCCATTAGTACATACTCTGGTAAATAACTTAACCTCAGGTGTCTTAACTTTTCCTTAGAACCTGCGATATGCAATCACCCCAGCAGTCTTTCTCCTTTTTTTTTTCCCTTTGGTACTGGGGATTGAACTTGGGACCTTGTGCTTGTGAGGCAGGCGGTGGAACCACTGAGCTAAATCCCCAGCCCAGTCTTTCTCCTTTGTGCTCACAGAGGAGGCCAATTAGGCCTCAATTCTCCTCTGGTCTCTGACAAAGGGGGTGTCTTTTTTATTTTTTGAAACAGGGACTTGCTATGTACTTCGGGCTGGCCTTGAATTCACTATGTAGCCCAGACTAGCTTCAAACTCACAGCAATCCTTCTGCCTCACTTTTGAGGGCTAGGATTAAAGGTGCATACCACCACGCCCAGCCTGTTCTGTTCTGTTCCTTTTATTGCTGAGACAGGGTCTCACTATGTAGTCCAGACTAGTCTTGAGCTCACTATATAGCCCAAACTGGCCTTGAGCTTGTGCAGTCTTCCGGCCTCAGCCTCCCAAGTGTGGAGATTACAGGCATGGGCCACCATGCTTGGTTCTATTCTATTTTTAATAGTTAATAAGTGTTCTGTGTTTTCTTAGATTCTATTTTGGTCTATTTGCCATCCATTAGTTACAGGCCCAAAAGCCAAAATTGTTTATATCTCCCTTGCGATCCAGAGCCTACAGTCTGAACCACTTCCTCTACCTAATTCTCATATACCAAGCCCTGATTTCTCCTGCCTTAAATCAATCTGAACGTGCAACAGGGAACAGCCCCTAGGCCACAAAGCCTGATGAAATTATTTAAACTAAACACTATGCTCCGTCTTGTTTCCATGTTATCACACAGTCACCTTTGTAAACTCAGACCTGAACATAAATCAGTAAGGAAAACAATGCTCTGTGAGATAACCGTTTACACATATGGTCAGCAGAAAACTGGGTTTTAGTGCTTCAACATCTTACCTTCCTCTGAAGTAACAACCAGGTTTTGCAGATCATTTTATAGAATAAGAAAATAAGGCAGAAGAGAAAAGATGACTTGTCAACAAGTCAGCCTCACAATTCCCATTACCTTCAATAGGTAAGGAGTAACTAACAATTCCCATTTCAACAGTTATGTCAACAATTACACAAAATTCTTTTGAAAATATGAGCAGACTTTTATCTTACATTAAACATTCAATGATGTAATTTTCCTTGGAACATTTAGCACCTACAATTCAGCTCTTTGCTCCAATGGTGTATATACTATATACAAGTATACTGCTCAGGATATATTTTTTAACATACTAATATTATTACTGTCCCAAGGATAGAGGCTTACATTTCAAATGTTTCACAAAGTCTTTCTACTAGTTATGTCTTATTAGTATTATACTTACCTCAACTGAAAGGGCCAAGAGAATAATAGCAAAGTAATTAACAGTATATAATTCTTCTGATCCTTTTTTTTTTTTTGGTACTGGGGATTGATCAGGACCTTGCGCTTGTGAGGCAGGTGTGGTGCCACTGAGCTAAATCTCCTGCACAGTATATAATTCTTAACATAAAGAATGATATTAAAAATATATTAAAAGATGCCATTAGTTAAATGGAAGCTGCTGTCTGTCCTTTTGCGATGTAAAGACTACATTTAGAAACCCCATATGGTGGCACAGGCTTACAATCCCAATACTTTGGAAGGCTGAGGCAGGAGGATGGTAAAGTTCAAGCCCAGCCTAGGAACTTAGCAAGATCCTGTCTCAGAATTTAAAAAGGAGGAGAGGGGTGGTGGATGTAGCTTGGTGCAAAAGCAAGCCCAGCCTAGGAACTAAGCAAGATCCTGTCTCAGAATTTAAAATGGAGGAAAGGGGTGGTGGATGTAGCTTGGTGCAAAAGCTCTGGTTCAATCCCCAGTACTGGGAGGGGGAAAAAAAAAAAAAAGAATGCACACACACACACACACACTCAGAGAATATTATCTGCTTTCAAAATTCAAATTTTTCTAGATTGGTTTTTCATAAAGATGAGAAATAATGTACCACCAATTATTCTTTTTTAATATGAAATCCAAGAGGTCCACTCAGGATAGCAAATTGAATCAGTATTTATTTAACTTTAGAAAATAGGAAAAGACCCTTAGCAGGGCATGGTAGCAAAGGCCCCTAACTATAGCTACTGAAGAAGCTGAGGCAGGAGGATTACAAGTGTGAGGCCAGACTAGGCAACATAACAAGATCTGTCTCAAAAATAAAAATTTAATTAAAAAAGGGCTGGGAAGGTAAAGCACTTGTGTACCATGTACAAGGCCCCGAGGTTATCTCCAATACTGCCAAAAAAAGAAAAAGACCCTTTAACATAAAAGTTATCACACACGCAACTACTTCCATTTTTTTCAATGTTAAGGATCAAAACACAAAAGTCCTGAAAAGAAGTCATGGAAAGGCAAGAGACCCATATCACCTGGACACATTTAAAATTTATAATTCAATCTAGTTTCTAGGATCAGTCTAGTCTCTAGGGTCTTTTAACAATACTGATGGTCAAATTATATTTTCCACACTACTATGTTTTAAAAAATTAAGTCAATTAGAAAAATTAAAAAAAAAAAGAAAATTTTCTGGTAGAAATGGTGATACACTGTGTAACTGGTAACCTCTTCTGGAAAATAAAAGAAGTCTTCTTTTATTTTTTAAAAATTGTAACACTAGTCACTGATTTTTTTTAAATGACATTTCCAAATACAATATTCACTCTGTAATGTTGAATTTTCTAAACAGACTCCTTAGCATTAAGCTAGCCAAATATGAGTTTAAGAACATATAACACCGTTTTCTTAGAGGAAAACTATTAAGAAGTCTTTATTTTCATTTCTAATTTGGAATTTATAAGTATGTACAATTAAATAATAATTAAAATCTCGTAAGATTAGTTTTTCTATAATTAGCTTTAAATTGTTAAAGGAAATACTTACTGGTTGCTCTGGTAAATCTTGTTCTTCTTCCATGAAGACCGATATTTCTTTATTATACTTGTGTAACTGGATTCCAACTCTCTTTCTGCAGTCTTCACAATCTGTTCGAGAGGGGGATTCGAAGCTTTATATACCCTTAAAATACAATCATTGAGGCCATCAGAGAATAATTTTTAAATATTTTGCTGCCCCAAGCTTTCTACGTTAGTCCCAATCTCAAAATCTCGAACTTGCACGTGGCATTTGAAAACTGACATGCCACACCATGTCAAGAAAAGGGTACACAGTGACTTTTGCAATACCTTGCAAAAGCCAACACGTGGAACCACTTCTGCTGGTTACTATAGTGCCTAATGCACTAAACATTTTACAGTGACAGCCACGTGCAGATAATAAAAACAAAAAAACTTTACGGATTAGAGTTACATTTAAAATGATAGAGACTGGCCTAGCCAGTCAGTAAGTTATGATAACATCTAACCTGCTTTAATGTGGAACATTTATATAACTGTTACACAGACACAGAGAATCACTTTAAATAGGTCAAACTGGAATATCAATTAAATACATTAACAACCAACTGCGTATATATAATCAACTTAAAGGAAAATGTAATTCTTTAGGATTTTAATAATGAAAATGAGTGAAATACAACTTTAAATATTAGAATTAAGGAAAAATAATCATGTAAAGCTAGGACCCAGTTTAATTCTGAAATAAGGGCCGGGGATTTAGGTCAGTGGTTCCGCCACCTGCCTCGCAAGCAGTCCAGAGTTCGATCCCTGGTACAAAAAAAAAAAAAAAAATCTAAATAATAAGCTTCCACTAAATATACTGCCCAAATTAAGCAAAATCTTTTTCTTCTTAGATCTCACTCTTTCCTCCCAGATTTTCGAACGAAAAAAGAAAAAGAGTAGATTCTAAGCCTCACATTTACTTATTTGTCTCTGCTAGCAGGAGACAGAAATTTTAAAAATAAAAAATTCCATTTTTATTTATCAAAAATGATACTGGTTCTTTTCCCAAGCAGATATGACTACGTATCCTCTTAAAGTCATACCTGTGTTTATTTTTTTTGGCAACCATTGTACCTAACTTAACATATGAGTACAACGCTGAAGTATAGAATCTTACTGGAAAAACAGTGAAAGTAGATAAATAATGTGAATAGGAAAACAAAAACTTCAGCTGGGCAAATACCACTAGTCTATGTTTTGGTACAATATAATACATTTTATTTTAGAGCCACACTCCACTACAAGAAAAAGGAGAAAACACGCATAAGGGATACAATTAGATGTAAAACTCTGACAATGATGACTCAGCTTCACTCCTTTGTCCTGGTCTAGAATGTCAAAAGAAAAAAGTTTAAAGGTCAGAAGCACTTGATGCTTAATACACACATGCAGCTCATATAAAGCCTCAAAAGCTAAGTTTTCCTACAACATGACGCAGATAACTAGTGCTGCAGAATTACAGGGTCCACACTGTAAAGATCACAGGCACTTTGTTTTGCTCAACTCAGAAAAGCACAGTCAATGTGACCATGAAACTGACTCACAATTGTGAAAAAAGTGAAACTTTTTGTTACCAGTTTATATTTTAGTTTTAAACTGAAATATCTATGTGGGATTATAATACTATCTAAATGTATATTATGTACATATATAATTTTAACCCCTAAGAAACAATAAAATAGGACCAAATCATTAGGGAAATGAAGTATCTTTAATAGCTCATTTGCTGGATTTTTGTGAACCAACTCTTACCTACATAAAAAGTGATAATATTCTATGTTTTCCTCAATTGAGGGACATGAATGTTAAACTGCAATATCTAATTAGTATAGTCTTGGTAAAAGAGAGGGAAAGAGTTATAAAAGCCATCTCGGTATAAAAGGAAGATAAGCAGAATTGAAAAAAATGATACTTAACGTGCTTTAATTTTCTTTTTAAACACAAGAACTAATTTATTTTATAAATCTTAACAAAAATTTAAAAACAAAATATTTTATAATTCAAAAGGAGTCATGGGTTTTAAAAAGCAAGAAACACTACCTGAATAGTAAGGATATAAACACTCAAGTTATACAAAACCAAATAATAAAATCTTAAATTTATGACAGATATGGGAGGGCATGCCTATAATCCCAGCTAATCTGAAGGCTGTGGCAAGGTGATTAGAAAGTTTGATGCTAGCCTGGACAATTTACTGAAACTGTCTCAAAATTAAAAAAGAAAAAGGCTTGAGAATGTAGCTCAGAGATCCCTGGTCTCAATATCCACTACTGGAGAAGAGACCCTGAGCTGTGTTTTTTAGAAAAAAAAAAAATGTGTAACATTGATTTCATTAGCAAGACAAGAATTTGCTATTTTTAAGATGAATTCTATTGAGAAGTTGCAAGACAACTTTAAGCAGAAGAACTGGAAAAACATTCCTTTCTACTTCTATTTGTTTTTGAATTGCTGTTGTTTTTTTCTATTTTTTTCTTTGAAAATAAGCACCTTTTATTGTTCTCATTTTAATAACTACCATTATTTTCTCACTTTTCAATTCATAGGAATAAAAAGCACACAATTTCTATATTTGAAGAACTTTTAAAAATTAGGCTTGATATCTTAAGGTTACTGGTGAATAATCACTAATAATTTTAATCATTTGAAAACAAAAGAAGCAGTCTACAAAGAAAGAATATGATTACAGAATTTCCTGACATAACATGTGATATCTATAGTTTGCAAACATATTCTGGCAAATTTGTGTAAAAATGTATCAATGATGACACATGATTTAATTCCATCATAATCAACTTTCTATCAATACAGTATTCTCATTCCTTCTAATAATTTATATCTGAAACACAAGAACATACTAAATATAAGAATGCAAATATAAGATATAAAATATAAGGTAATGCAAATATAAATATAAGAATTCATCACATCCTCAGCATTTATCAATATATTGAAACTTTTACTTATTTTATTTTATTTTTTGGTGGTGGAGGGGATCAAATCCAGGGCTTTGGGGATGCTAAGCACTCACTATCTCTAAACTACATTCCAAGGCCTAAAACTTTTAATCTTTCAAGATTTCACACCAATTTTGAAAGTGGCACATGCTATACAATCAAGTTGCATTCACTAGCAATGAGATAAAAATGTTGTATAACACAGACACAATGATTCAATACTTGATATTGATCTTTTAGGATATCAAGTAATACAATGACTATGACATAGAAGTGGAAAGTGAATCTTAATGTAATTAAGATGAACATAATCAAGACTTAGTAAAATGGCTTATGAAATTACAAAATATGCCTAACTTTTTAGCTTAAGTATCTTTAGGGCATTTATACAATAAGTCTTTACACAATTTTTAAATTTCATTTTTTATTACTGGTTTCTAAATACATTTGTTTTTATCATCTTTTTGGAGGCAGAGCTTGTCAGTATCCATATGCCTACATGGACAGAATTTAGAGAAAATTAAAAATTGAGAATAGAAATAGTATTTCCTAGGACTTCTCGTTTCCCTACTTGTAAATGCTGACAATGAAAAAAACAGACACTTTACTTTGATTTTTAAAAGTCACAATTTATTTTACTTTATTTTACTGTCAAACAGATCCTCACTATGTTGCCGCGGCTGGTCTTGAACTGCTGGGCTCAAGTGGTCCCCCCACCTAAGCCTCCAGAATAGCTGAGACTACAAGCATGCACCACCACACCAGGCCAACACAATTTTAAATACTATTCAGATCTCACATGTTAAAAATAAAGCAAGATCCTTTTATAATATGGCAATTATAATTTTAATTTTCACTTCTTAGGAATTAGAAGAGAAATAATTAGTAACAAATAGTTTATTTCAAAATTCTAATTAGATTCCTACCTCATAATTTGTGTTTTGTACCAGGTTCAACATGGTATTTATCTTATAAATAGCCACAAACAGAACTTAGATTACTTCTATTTGTTATTCTAGCCCTTAGATATAGAAAGGAACTATAAATGTTTATAATTATATATTTTAATATTAATTATATAGGAATTTTATATAATCTAAATATTATAAATGGCATATGAATTTATACGTAAATTTATGTGGAATATATAAATGGTATATGTGTTATAAATACATTTTATATAATATAAATGTGTTAATGATCAGATCTATAAATATGTATATAATGTCCCTTCCTGCACCTAAGAGCTATAATACTACAACATATATACACAGAGAATAAAGATCAAATTGTTTCAATGAAAATAAAGTATATTTCTCTCTTAATACACTCACATGCAGCTCATACAAAGCCTCAAAAGCTAAGTTCTCCTAAGACATGATGTAGATAACTAGTGCTGCAGAATTAATCACAATTTCAAGAGAAGTGTTTAAATTGAGCAAAAGTATCTGATTATAGTCCCAGGAGGGGGACCTGGATATATCTATCAATGCAGAGACATTCAAGGGTTAACTATTTTTGATACAGTCCTACATACAAAACAGGGAATCTACAATTTGACCATTGCCTACTACAAGTTTACTACTCCTTTCAAACCCTTACTTTTTTTTTTTTTT